TTTTTGACATAAATTTATTTCATCTCTTTGAAAATTTGAATTGTTGTCCATAAGTTGGCATTTAATTTTTAATTTTAAGTTTTTTATTTCCAATGAAATCAAAATTTGTTGGCATTTTATTATCAGACAAAAACTGATTGCAAAGTACTTTTTTATTAAAATTGTGTCATTTCATGCAACAACTTTTTTTAGTACTTTAACGTATGGAAATGGTTTTATTTTATTTTTTTTATTTTATAACCGTCGTTGAACAGCCGACCCAATGTCTTGGGCTCATGACTTCCGTTGTTCAACTCCGTAGCCTTGTAATTTTGAACCCAATCCTGAAGACAAGGGAACTCCTGGATCAAGTATTGGGAGAAATTTGCTCTCGTGGAGAACATTTCGATAGAACTAATCCGCATTTATGTTACATGGAGAGGAACGCTATGAAAACCACTGACAAGGGTACTCTAACCCGTGATCCGTCTACCACTGAGGATATTTTACGTCAGCACTGTGTGTGGTCGGTGCAAGCCGGATGCGGAATTCGTATCGACCAGCAATCGCTGAGATTTGAACTCGGTTCACCTCATTGGAAGCCGAGCACTCTATTCCCTGAACCATCACGGCTCATGTGATTGGTTGTCGCAAAAGGAATAAAAGAAGTTGTCGTGCTTGATAATAATACAAATATTTTTTTGTTATTTTTATGCCAGCAATAAACTTTTGAAGTTATAGTAAAAAACATGGCCAGAACGCAAATGCACTTAAAACTATTACCATTATTTCCATTCTAAAGTTTCAACTGCTGAATTATTAAATCTAAATGTCGTAATTACAATTTTTAAGAAAAATGTATTGCCTCAAATCCATATAAATTTTATGCACAACCAAACTGGTAGCAGAAATCCTTTAGCACGACAACGGTTTGCCAATATGCATGTACACAAGAAAACGAAAATAATAACTTTCAAAAGTTCTAAAATAATTGTTTTTAACTAACTGGTATTTAAATGACAGAAAAAATTTCGAAAACAAATTCTTAATGTCCGAAAATTCTAGTTGCTTGTTAATATAATGTATAGGAACTTATTTCATTTTTTAACTTTACATTTTTTCCTTCATTAAAAAATCTATTTCCATTCTAAATTTTCTCCTGTTGAATTATTGAATCTAAATGTTTTAATTGCAATTTTTAAGAAAAATATTTTGCCTCAATTCCATGTCAATTTTATACGCAAGCAAACAGGTAGGTGAAATTATCTAGCACGGCAATGAGAGCTGCAGATATCAAAGCATCTGCAGACTACTTTTTATCACAATTTTTCCTTTTTTTTTTTAAAAAAAAAGGGAAAGAATTTATCACAGCACCTGAAGATTATTTTTCATTTCAAGATAGACAGAAAAATAATTTTTATTTTGAAATATACGCATTTACTACTTGTTTCAGGTTCTGAACAAAATGTGTACGCCAATATGTATATACACAAGAAAACGAAAAATAATATCTTTCGAAGTTTCTAAAATAATTGATTTTAACTAGCTGGAATTTAAATGACAGAAAAAAATTCAAAAATAAGTTCTTAATTTTCAAAAATTCTAGCTGCTTGTTTATCGATTGCATAGAAACTTATTTTATTTTTTAATTTTAAATTGTTCCGTTCATTTAAACATGTAAAAGAAATTTTAATTAAAATAAATTTCTAGCAACACTCTTTTATGTATAACTGATATATATATATTGATGTATAACTACATTATATGTGCTAATTTGGCTTTACATAGTAAATAAATAAATAAAAATTTAAAAGAAAAATGAAACACCCTGAAATGACTTTAGATCTATCAGATTTTCGAGTACTAAGGTTCAGGTACTTAATGGTTCATGAGGGTGGCCTCAAATATTCTAATTAATTTGTGGAAACGATATTTTAAGTCAATGACACACACAAAAACAGACTTTCTCTGTTTGAACACATCTTTTTTTGTCGGATTCGGATTTCTTAAACTCAAAATATAGAAGATAGCCGCAATCTGGGAAACATGGCCCCAATAGTTTGAACAAGAGAGCGGAGCAGTGCTTGAACCCTTTATGTTAATTTTACTTTTTAAGTATTACGCCATATATCGAAAACTTAAGCGAAATCTAAAAATTTTAGCACACAATCAATTTTATTATTATTATTTTTTTTAATTTCATTAAATAGCAGTCAAAAAAACTTTGAAGCTTTAAGTATAAAAATTTTTACATAACTTTAAAGAATGTAATTTTATGTAAAAAAAAAAAAGACAAAATTTGAGCGAAATCAGTCAAATAATTCTTAATAAATCGAATTTTAAAAAAGTCGAATAAGTAAGTTCCATTTCTCCAGTTATAGGTAAGTTCCATTTCTCCAGAACTATTCGACCGACTTTGCTCAAATTTCATATTTTGCCATTTGAAACTACATTTTTTAAAATGATGTAAAAGTCAGCATGCCTTATAGTTCAAAATTTTTTCCACTATTCTTAAATAAAATAAAATTAAAATAATAACTAACTATATTTTATTTATTTATTTATTTATTTATTTATTTATTATATGGAATTATTTTCAGATAAGCCAATTTATTAATTGTGTGTAAACATGTTTCAGTCCCCTTAAAAAGTTTTCGAGATATGGTTTAATCTCCAATCCATAATTCATAGAGTTCATACTTCTATAATTAATTATGTTTATATTTTATATTTGTTGTCTGCCAAGTCCTCTACAAAACTATATTTACAAACTTTCTTTTCAAGAGTAACTTAAGTAAGGGGAAACAGTTCATTCAAAACAAATCTGTATTAACGAGACTCTCATTTCAGAAATGGATTTATTAATTTACTATCGCAATTACTTTTTCTATGCCACTTAAATCTCCACCAGGGCAAATTCATTGTAGTGTAACGTTCTACAACTTGGAGAACAATAGGTCGTTTAATAGCAGTAATAATCAAAGTCATTTAGAAAGTCATAACAATGAAATATATTTTTAATAACCACAATGAATAATTTTTTTTCTTCCTTATTTTACGACTCTTCCGCAAAAGAATACAAAAATGATTTAATACTTGTTTGACTAAATCACTGGTGTTTGAACTCTTTGTCAAACGTCATCAGAACTCTTTGTTTATTTGTTTCTATTTGCTAAGTTTATTTTGCCTAAAGTTCTTAGTAAATATAAAATTTAGATTCATTTTAAATAAAAATTATTTTGAAGAATTGTTTTACAATCTCTCGTCAATAAGCCATAACTAGAATGTTTTGCTTTCTAGGCGTTTTGATAAGAATAGTTTGTAAATAAACTAGTTTTTTTTTTTTTTTTTTTTTTTTTTTTTTTTTTTTTTTGACCTTTTATAAATCAAGTTATTTTAAACAAATCTAAGATCGTTTTAGAATATTTCGTAGTTTTATTAAAATTTTGAGCAATCGAAAATTTATTTCAGAACTGAGATGAAATATGTATATATTTGAAAAAACAATTATTTGGTTCTTAATACTGTAAAATATTTCCGTAAAAATACCGTGGAAAAAAAACAGAAAAATATCTCTATAATACATAACTAGAATTAGGCAGAGCATTTTAACTGTTTTGTTTTCAATGGAAATATTTGCCTTAGATTGAGATCTCCGATGCCAGGGAAGATATTCAATATGTTCTATTGCGCAACGAGCTCTATTTTGTGTATGTTTGAGGAAAAGAAAAACTTCTTAGCACCTCAGAACTGGTTCTTCTTTAACTTTGCTACGTCAAAAATTAAAAAGTTAACTATTAGTCTATTACACAACTTCTTTTTCAAACGCTTATTCTAGTTAACAGAGTTACAAAAAATACCAGTTTCACCAAAAAATATTTACATAAAATTTCGATTGCAAAGTCTGCAAAATCTTTTTTTTTTTAAATAATTTAAATAGGATTCATGTTGAAAGAATAATATACATAGAATTTCTGTGGGAAAAGTAGTTAGCATAAAATTTATTTCAAAAAAATAATATACATAGGATCCATGGAGTAAAATGATGTACCTAGAATCTATGTCGAAAAGCTGTGAGCTCATACCTCTTTAGAGTCATACCGAATGCTAAGCATTAACTGGTTAAGTGGGGGGAAAAACAGTTATTTCATTCAACCAAATTGAAACAATTTTCCAAAACCATAAAAAGTCCCACATTACATGCAGAATAGACTTATACAGTGACTGTTCTTCATCAACCGTACATTATAGTTAAAAGATAAACGTCGTGGCGAGTAATTTTGCCACTTAAATGCGTTAAATGGGACAAAATGGGAGACATCGCAAAAATGAACTAATTTTTGACCGATAAGTTTGAAAGGGCTCCTTCGAGAATTTAATGTCTAGAAAGAAAACGAAATTGCTCATTATCTATGCAAAAAAAGTAATTCACATAGAATCTATGTCGAAAAAATAATTTACATAGAATTTCTCTCAAAAATTCTATAGAATCTATTTCTTTTAAATAATTTACATAGTATCCATGTTGAGAAGTAATTTACATATTATCCGTGTCGCAAGAATAATTGACATGGAATTTCCATGATAAAAGTAGTTTGCATAAAATTTATTTCGACGTAATAATTTACATAGAATCCATGTCGAAAAAATAATGTGTGTGAGTTCATACCTCTTTAGAACCGTACATAAAGACGCATGCTAAGCATTAACTGGTAAAGAGAAAAATAACAGCTATTCCTTTCATCCAAATTGAAACGATTTTCCAAAACCATAAAAAGTCCCATATTACATGCACAATAAACTAATACAGTGGCTGTTCCTCATCAACCGTACATCATAGTTGAAAGGTAAACGTCGTGACGAGTAATTTTGCCACTTAAATGCCTTAAATGGGACAAAATGGGAGATGTCGCAAAACTGAGCTAATTTGTGACCGATAAACATGAAAGGGCTCCCACGAGATCGGAATAATAGCTCATTTCGATGTTAACAGCTTGTTAGAAAAACATTTTTACCTGATCATTCCACCTCTTCTTTTCATTTTTGTCACTGTAATTTTATTATTAAAAAGGGCTTCGTGCAATTGTCGTCACCCTGGAATACTGGTTATAACAATTGTCATTTGACAGTCGCCTAATAGCAGAGTCGAATGAACCGCCCTTTTACTCGAGTAAAGAATGAATGTATAATCTCGCCTAAGTGGTTGTAAGTGGAGTTTATTTCCGCGGCTAATTATCATATTATTTTTCAAGATCACGACCAGGTTTTTTTCTGTTTGCTCCGTTCAGTTGCGGATAAATTTATTACCTGGATTTATATGGCGCCGGTAGGTTGAGGACTCGCGCAACTTTACTCTAGGTGGAGGTAATTCTTTCTATTTACTTTTATTTATTTATTATTTTTTTTAATTCTTAGATCAAGATATAAAAAAAATCAACAATGAGTCATTAAAACTGCAAAGAAATTGCCCAATCTTTTTTACTCTTTAAATGGTTTGTCTTTAAATCTTCACAGATCAACACTGTGATAATTTTTCTTTATTGCTAATTTTCACCATTAATTTCGATTTAAAAGTAGTTAGTATTATGAAAATTTAGATACTATGAAAGTTTGTTATAATCAAAATATAGTAATCTTAATAACTAAATTAAGATTACTCTGAATAACTATTTAGATAATTTGTCATTTTCATACTTTGTAGCTATTGCTTTTAATTAATACTGCTCCTCAAAATGTAATTGATTATACAGCTTAAATACTAGTTAGTTCACAAGAACTTGGCAAATTTCTTTAACTCTGATGTAAAAAATAAAATATTTACAGAAATAACAATCTATTAATTTATTTCCATACAGAAAGTTGCCAAAAAAATCAAACAAGTAAAACTACTTGACAATTAGTTTTTTATGATTATTTGTCAGAAAACCATAATAAAACAAAGAAGTTTGCAACAAAATATAAACTATATTATTTTAAAAAGTCATGGTTATAAAATGCGGAATAATGAACCATGACGAAAACAGGAAAGCAAATGAATTTGCTGATGATCTTAAATAAATAAAAACAAACTTCAATTATTGTTTTATTGTAACAATAATAATGACGTAAATTTTTAATGCAGTTTGTTAATCGTGCATGCCGTTAATTGAGAAGTAGTAAACATAAATATATAAATAAATCAGATCATTTTGAAAAAAAGTTTAGTTAAAAACATCTTCCTATAACGTCATTATCTTTATGCAAGAAGTACTAATAACATTTGAAGCTGTTTCGTATGAGCGAGATAAAAAGTTAAAGAAATTATATTTTTAAAAGTATGCAGATAGAAGAGGTTACAAAAGGATAAGAATTGATGAAGTGTAAAAATTAAAGAGTCATTGGAATGGTTAAGTTTGAATCGTACTCTCACAGTATACAAAGCACTAATGGTGCTAGCAGTAAGTTTTTTCACCCAAAAATACCACTTTAAAAAATTTGCTTGTCTTCTTGACTAGAACTTCTGAACTATATTTCTCAGAAAACGATTTTAAACACTTTATTTATATATTTTAGGTTTTAACAATTTCTGCATTATAAAAAATACCATTACGAATAAATGCTTTGTACTTTATCTAATACTTCTCTTTTGAGCTTTAAAACCAAGTTATTCAATTATTTTTTTTAAAAAAAATGAAGGAAATGGAGGTGTCGAATTCAGTTTGAAAGCTTTTGTTTTCAACATTTTACCCAAATGACGCAAAATGGTATTTTTGAGATTTGACTCGTCACGGTAATGTTCAAACTTACACGGCCGAAAAAATTCTGGTAAAACTACAGTATTGTTGAGTAAAAATATTTGTGGTAACAAAAAACGAATTAATAAAGCGGTATTTCAGCAATTAATATATACGGTAATTCAATAATTCATTTGATAATTTTTCCGTTCATATGATAATGCTTTACCGGAGATTCTGGTTACCAGAATTATAGTTCTTATTATCACACATTTAGTAAAAACTAAAAATTTGAAAGTAAATATAATCGAATGAATGACTTTTCCTTAGGTATCATGATTAAATCACCAAATTTTACTACATTTATCAATTTTATCACTGATTATAGCATCATATTTCATTGGTAATTTTACCAAACTCATTACTAAAGTGCTTTGGGTGTTCCTATTGAACTAGAAATACGGTAAATTTTACTATAGTACTACAAAAGTAATAAGGTAATAAAATGGTAGCTTCGATCATACTTTATTTCTCAGTGTAGAATTGTACTAAATATTTCCAAGCTCTAAATTTTTCCGATTTAAAAACAGTAACAATAATAAGCGCTTAAAATGAATAAGCTGCACAAATTGGGAAAAAATGGATTAAATCCATTTTTTTTTTAAGCTTTAATTCAAAAAAAGAATTTTTAAATTTGCATTAGCTTAATAAGTATATGTATTTTTCTATTTAAAAAAAATCGTTTTGACAAGCTTTGTAATATTGTCACAGTTTTCCTATTTTTCAGAATATATCAAAATATTAGTTAGGAGATTTTGCACCTGACTACTCAATTATAATTTCTAAAACTAATCAAAATTCATTGTCTTTCTTTCAGTTCTAAAGGTCAAAGTATCAACCTATCGTTCTTTCCTTTAGATAATAAGTTATCTTTTGTTGAAAACTGAATCTTTTGTTGAAACTAAAATTTACCTTACACGTATCTTACCTAATAAAAATTTATTTCACTTTTCGAGATAAAAGACGATTTGGAAAAAAAAAAATAATGAGCTATTAGTAAAATAACAACTGTTTAATATTTTCCACGCAATGAAAATCATTAAATTTGTAAAAATTTTACAAATAATTGAACCAACAATATGTTTGGAATATTCTAAATGATTTTTTTTAACTTCTTCCTTCTCATTTTGAAAGAAAAAATTTAAAATTGCTAGACATTCATTTCATTTTTAAGTTAATATAATATTTAATGCATAAAAAAATCTTTCCGTTCCTTCAAGCACAAAATAAATAGAACTTAAAGAAGTTTCCTCTTTTTTCATAAATTTTTTGTTGTTGATTATAAACTGATGAACTTCAACTTTTAAAAATCACTTATCTTTTAATCACCATACTGAATATTAACCTAAAATTTGTAGAGTGTATACTTCTTGACATTTGTAACTGTTATAATTGGAACCAATAACAAGAAAATAAAGTTATCTAACGAAAAAAAAACACTTTTAAATCAAAATATCTACAGTTAAAAATATGAAGAAATCAGGGGAAAAAAATTTTTAAAGACGAAGAAAAACTGTTAATAAATAAAAGGTTTATTAATATCTTTTCTGCTTAAAAATATAAAAAAAATTTTTTAAAAAATTCTAAAAATGCTGGAAAACAAAATAAGGAAAAGATATAATATCGTCCCAAGTTTACACGATTATATCTGCAAAAAAAAGTGCTTTCTAATATTTTATTAGTGCAACTAAAGTAAAATACACCAATATAATAGTGTGATTCATTACTTCCTACATATTTAAGAAAAATTCTATTGATTAATAATTTTTCTTTGTTTTCTTCGTATTTTAAACTTATTTTATGCTTTCTACGTATTTGCAACTTAAGCGCAGTAAATAAAACTTAGTATTACTTTTCTTTATTTTCATAATTTTCTTCGTTAATCTCTCTTTTATTATTTTTTGTCTCTTTATTGTGTTATATATACATATATTTATATGGAAATTTCAACTTTCGCTTAAATAAAGTCATAATGAAAAGCAACGCTAACAAAGCAAAAGAAATTACGGATTTTTTTTCCCCTAAATTAAGTCCATCATTAAAGTCTGGCAAAAAAACGAATGAATCAATCAAATAACAACAATAAAAAACCCCTCAACTTCGAACACAAAATTCCAATGAATGTGAGCATAATAAAAGCGCCGAAAGATACGAAACAGGAAAGAAAAATTGCAAAGAAAAAAACGTTCTAAGAGAAAGAAACACTTGGCCTCCAGTCTTGACGAATATGATGAGAGGCACTGACAAACCGGCAATGACACATGTTGCTGTCTCTCTTATGGCACAGTTGAGTGACCTTTTGTAAAGTCGACCATTCAAACTCCATAACTGGGCAAACAGAAAACTCGCGTGACTTTGCCCATGCCGTTAATTAATCTATTGAGCCTTTCACAAATCTCATGCTCTGATGTCATAGACAGCTTTTCACAGATTAATAAGACTTCGCGACATCTCCATAGATTCTTTCATGTTTTTCAATAGAATTGAGAACACGTTTTGCTCTCAAATCTTATTTATTTTCTAATTTAATGGTCATCTAAGGAATAAAATATTTATTGCTTGGAAAGTAGCTTTTTAAAGTTATGCGTGATTATATTTGCTTGGGTCATATTAGGGCGAACGTTAATGAAATATTTCTTTGTGTGTGAACACATTGCTTGTTCTTCTGTAGCAAACCGTGATATCAGCAGCAAATAGTAAAATTTTAGTTCAACTTGAACTATAATATCGTGTAATGAAGTTCATGAAGCATGATAAAATTGCTCAATTTTGCACCGTATTAAGGTTGCTACAAATTTGAGTCATATCACGGTTCAACGTGAGCTAAAACTTACTGTTAGAAACTTTCAGACACTGTTAAAGACTTTGGTGCTCGTTGAACCAGAGTACCGCTCAAATTTGCCACGATCTTATTACGGTACAAAATTTAACAATTTTATCGTGATTTATGAAGTAGATTGTACGATATTATGGTTCAACTTGAACTGAAATATGTTTCAATTTAACAGCTTATCAAGGTTGAAATAATTTTTCGCGATATATTGGTCCAAGGTACCAATATTATAGTTCAACATTGAACCGATTTTTCTGAATGTGCACTACATAATCTGAAATCAGAAATTACGTTAACAATAAATATCTTTTTGAAGCCCCCACACAGAACAATACAAAGAAATAAAAAAATACTGACGATACTACGCATGCAGCTAATTAATCTGGCTGATAAAAGAGCAATAAGATTTTTTTTAAAAGAATTCAAATAAGAATTCTGGAGAAAAAGAAAATTATATATATTATATGTTATATATTGAGTTTCCGTTGCAAGAAAGAATTGCTGAGAGAGATTCTGCGTGAAACGCACACTAATGATGTTATGATGTCATATTAGTTCAAACCACTTTTGTAAAGCCTTTAGAAAGGAATGTAGCCGAGATAGTCTGGTTGGTAGGGCGTTGGGCACATGTCCAAAAGAGGTCATGAGTTCAATCCCCGTGGCCGAAGACTCTCCGCGTGGTAAATGGTGATTGGTGCACGTTAAATCTTTCAAGTCACAAAGTCCTCCATGTTCCCTCAACAAATCATACCTCTAGGGGGGTACTGAATTGGAGATAGATCGTTACTTGGCTCAGGGTCAAAATAACGATCTGTGGATAAATTAATGAGTTGGGACATATGTGTGTGGCAGAAGTCATATTCTTGGCCATAGATGGCGCCACTGGAGAGCAAGAAGAAGCTCACTATGTCTTAATGGCATGCAACAACAACAAAATAATGCTGCTTCCATAAATTTTAAAGTACTTTCCTTTTAAAATATATTTCGTTTAACTATTTAATGGCTCTTATGTTAGTTTTTATAAATTATGCTATAGCTGTGTGCCCATAGCAAAAATCCTCCAGCATGACCGCGGGCGCTGTAGATTATCAGACTATCTGTACAATATTTTTCAACTCAAAATTAAAGAAACTTGAAACACTTGAAGATTATTTTTCATTTCAAATTAAAAAGAGAAAAAAAGACAGAGAGAGGAGAAACAGAGAAATCATCTTTTGTTTCAGGTCCTTTTACAAAACTTGTATTATTAGAGTGGATTTGATGACAAAAGGAATGCAAACTTGATAAGTAAAACAGTAAATTTGCTTGCCAATCTGCAGCTGTATAGGAAAACGAAAAGTAATGACTTTTCGAATTCCAAATGATTATTTTTCATTAACTGGAATTTTTAAAAATAAGAAATTCAAATTACAAAAAAATGCAAAAAATAAATTCCCAATTTTCAAAATTTCTAAATTTCTAGTTGCTTTTTTTTAAACTGTATAGGCACTTAACCTATTTTTTAAATTTTAATTATTCCATTCATTTATAAGTGTGCAAATATTCCAATGAAAATAGCAGGTTTTTAACGACATTTTTTGTATATAATTTTTTCCTATCTTATATATGCTAATTTTGCTATACACATGCTATTAAAACTAAATTTTGCGGAATTGTCTATGTCTTACTGTGTTAGGATTTCAGACAAATTTTAAATTATAAAGATCGTGATGCAAATTGACTCTATCAATTCTGCTACCTGGTCTTTGTATTGATTAACTTATTTTTAATGAATCAACTTTTTGATAACTTAGAAAAAAGTAAAATCTATTAATTTTAACTTGCTATCAAGTTTATTTTCAAGTCTTTATTTCTTCATTTGATTAAAATCAATTTTTGAGACAAAACCTATCCCTGAAAAAATTCTAAAGCAGCAACTATTGAGACTGTTAATTATTATGCACAATTAAGTTATATTAAGTAGTATAAAAGAAGTTCCTTATTTTTAATCACAGTAAACTAACTTTATCAACAGTTCTTAGGTCAATTTTGAAAGCGAGCACAACTATTAATTACACAAAACAGTTGAACTGAATACTGCTTTTATATAACTTTACTTCAATTAATGATGCTAGATTTCGAGACTGTTCAAATACTACAAATATGTATATAAAATACTATAAATATGCTGCAATAAGAGAAACAAACTGTTGTTATATGCATTTTAATATAAAGTTAAAGAACTTTCTGTACTTTTTTTTAAATTAGCAGCACAACACACTGAAATTAAAGGTGAAAAAAAATATCAAAACAACCATAAACTGTTACTCAGACAAAACAAATAAACACAATATTGCTTTTTTATTATATATTTCACTTTTCTTCCTTCTATGGTGGCGTTTTTTTATTTTATTTAAATACAATGATCTTATTTATTCGAAGCCAGAATAACATACAGCTTTTATTTGTCTTCAAATGTATTAAATAATAACGAAAAAACTTTCACTATTATGTAAATATTAGTATAAAGACTCATTTAAAAAAACAAATACAATTTTTAAAATAAAAGTTTTAATTATTGAAAGAATAGTAAGTAGAAAATAGGAGAAGAACTAGGAAAATCCCCTTTTTAAAGTTTGATGTTTTTTTTGCGATACTTTTTTATGCATCAATAGTTATTATATACAATTAGGTTCCAATTAATACACTGTAGGAAATTTTAGCACGGTCTGAATTAAAATAACATTCAATTTTGTTACAATCTCAATACGGTACCAAATTTCAGAGGTGTAGTCAAAAGGGGGACAACGGGGTCATAACCCCCTTGTAGAGTTTAAAAATAGAAAATTTTATCGATGATTTTTTAATTGAGTAAAGTTTATGTGTTTTCCTTCATCAGTGTTTATATAAGTTTAAAAAGATAGTAGAAATAATTTCCTAAACCGTGATAAAGGTATAATGATAATAAAGAAATAATAATAATGGTTTGAGGACAACTTCAAATGAAGGGAAAATGTTCTAATTCTCATCTCAGCTATTAGGAATTAAAAAAATACTATGTATACTTTTTTTGTTTATTTTTGCTCTAATTTTTTTTAAACAATGAAACGCTTATCAATTAAAATAGTGACAGATGGAAACAAGTTTGTTACATGTCTTTGATATATATCTACAGACTTTTGAGCCGACCAGCGGATTTTTAGAACGGTGAACTAAACTGAAAATGAATGAAATATGCATTTAAAAAGTTGATCATATAATTAGAATACGGTAGAGAAAAATCGTTTTTCATAGCTACTACAATAATTGCAATGTCGAAATAAACTATCAATTAAAAAGTTTTAAAAATAATCATATTTTGCGATGATGATTTCAATTTTTTTTAAATTTATTTATTTACTTATTTTTTTCTGCCTTTTTTTACCATTAATTAGCCATTGGCTATGCCTAAATAGGTATGGTGAAGTAGCCATGTATACACTGTTGGAATTTTAATTCTAAAATTACGGTAAGATAACCAACAGCAGTGTGTCCTATCAATTAAACGAAAACTCTATGGTTTACAACTAGTACGATTAAAAAATCATTAATATAAAACTGTAGGAATTTGTAACCCTTTTTCAACTGGTATAGTTTCAGAACCGAAAAAAATGATATTCAACTAGACATTGGAGTTAGGCTTTTCGTTAAACAATATATATTGGAACAAGGTTGTAGTTGAGTGTACTTTCGTCAAATGAGCCGTAGAATGGGGCTTAATTAAAATATCTGGCGGTGCCACCTATCATGAGAGATGGGAAATACAGGAATTTTTTGTATTAAGCAGCTCACGGTGCTAACATCTATTCGTGAATGAGGTTTTCGTCATCCAGCTATCCAGGGTCATCAATTGGAGAGAGCATAACACAGGAAATTCTTTTCGTGAGTTGAAGGAATGGAAGAAATATTTTCGTCTTAACACTCAGACGTTAAAACGACAAGAACCCCTGTTCAGCTAGTCATAAGATCGACAGATTTCATAAGGTGGTACGGTGCGAACGAAATTCTAGTTTTTTAACAGTGTTAAGTGAAAACTGTCATTAAACGATTTTTCTCACAGTTAAATGTTTAAATACCATACTTTTTATGATTATTTTACTGCTTTCGTTGAATATGGCAAAACCCAATTAAATAAATCGTTATTTAACCCTTTTTTCGAGTAATTTCTAGCAGTGCATGTATTTCTAACAGTGTAATTTCTAACATTTTAAAATTTTATATTTTATGAATTCAAAATAGAATAATGCACATTAGAAATAAACTCAAGAAAAGATGACTTTAATGTTTATTACCATAGATAAAATAAAATACAATAATTTTTTTAATAGGTAATTAATTTCAATAGATAAATTTTTTTAATTCGTACTAAACAAATTTGTTTATGCTTAACAGAATTTCTGTTAACTCTGCGAGTTTCAGTAATCCCAAGCTTCGCGATAGCATATGGATTGCTTCTGTTCAGTTGAGAAAATAGCAATTTATAAAGACAAAATTACTCAAAATGCAAATTTCCCAATTATAATAAAATAAAAAATCACAAATATTAAATTAAAATAAAATTTATGTAAAAAGAAGGAATGTTAAACTCTCGTTAGTTCTCTTTTTGCTTTTTAAGAGTTTTTATTGTAAACATAAACCCAAGAGAAAAAGTGTCTTTGTTTCTACGAGGAATTCAATGAGCAAAACGGGAGGAAATTAATGTCCCTGTCATTTTTATCTACCATAAAACGCGAGTCCCCATATTTCATCACGTAATAAGTTCTGCCTCTTATGTCTACCTACCCATTATGGTAAAATTAAAGAATAAATGAATGGACAACCCCTATTCCATGGGCGAACCACCCCTTCCATGCTACAGCTAAGGTTTCACGAAATGACATTTACCAATACAGCGAGACCATTTACATAAATACTATCATACGTTTTAAGATAAACATGCAATATAGCATGTGTATTTTTATGTAATGTATGTAGTATATGAACAACACTTAATAACGTTGTTATACGCTACACCGTATGTCGTATAACAACGACATTTTCTTGTGTTTGCCAATAAATCGTTATGATTTCTCTATGATTATTAACATATCAAAGCTGTGGTTTTTCCTCTTAAAAATTAAACTGTTTCAGTGACCCAGAAAATATATCAATACGTTTGTTGTATGTTTGACATATTTTATTATTGATAAAATGCATCAGTAAATTTCTAAGGTTGTGTTTATTTGTTCTTACAGGTATAGAGTTCCACTGCAAATGAAAGAAGTTTGTTGCAAAATAGATAAGTAAAATCCATCTTGTAAAACTGTGTGAAAAGGTAAAAACCATTAAACACGCTTTTTATTTCTTTTTTTTATCTTTGATGTTAATGTATTTAGAATTGCAAACTGATATTGATCATAAAAACTACATTCTTTTTAAATGCTTGTCGCGATGTCATTTTCCGACAATATATGTACATGTTATTAACATTAAATGCGTTTAAAAGCCTTCTGACTGTTATTTATTGTTTTGTAGTTTTCCAATTTGCTTCTGCTATAAAAACTATGAATTTATGTACGTATATGTATACATTACGTTATTTTAATTTTAACTTCAAAAAATGAATAATAAATTAATAACAGCTGTTCTTTAAAATATAAATAAACATTTAAAGAAATCAATTTTTCTATATGTGTAAAATATGTTTAAAGCAGATCAAATTCTGCAAAATTATACAATGATAGAACTTTTGAATGCTGCTGAACCTTAATATCAGTAACTTGAATCATGATAACGATGCTAATTTGCTGCTAACTTAATAAAGTGGTAGTTCGTTCCGTTCAAATTAAAGCATTGTAACATTAATCAAGTTTAGGAAGTACGATAATATTTACGATATTACGCATTATACTAAGGTATAAGAAAACTTAAAAGTTATTGTATAGTTCAGCATATACCAGCAGAACATTTTGTACTTTACAAATGCACTTTAGTTCATCTATACCGCGATCACAGTTAATAAATTATTACGGCTAAATTAAATTCGTATGTAACATGGTTAAAAGTATATATGTTTTAGGTCAACATTAAAACAATTTTTCTTGAAGTCTTTTTAAACCATCCATATTAACTCCATATTAAACCGTTTTAAACCATCCAAAAATTCGAACCATCCGTATTATCGACCTTATTAAGTCCTTATCCTTGATTATACGATGCTATTTTTCAACTTGATCAATCAATCCTTAAGCTTGATTCAATCCTTCAATCCTTAAGCTAGATTACACGATACTATTTTCCAACGATGTTTACTTTAAAACTATATATGTATAGTGCCGGAAAGAAAAAAAAAAGACCATCTCGAATAACTTTTGATCTGATGATCGGATCTTCACGTTCCAGGACTCAATCTTAAAAATTCAAAGGGGTGACCTCAATAATGTTAATTAACTAGTGCAGACGATAATATAAGTTACGAAATCAGACACAAAAACGCATTTTCTCTGAATAAGCATACCGTTTTTTAGACTAATTCGGAATTATGACGCCCACAATATACCCGGAATCTGGGAATTATGGTCCCAATAGTTTGGTCAGGAGAGCGGTCCAAAGTTTGAACCCCCTTAATGTTAATTTTACTTTATTCGCATTTTGTTATATCTCACAAGATTTTTAAGCGAATTGAAAATTTTTTGCTCAGAATAATCAAATTCGCTTAACCAATACTATTTTCACTCAAAAAAGTAACTTTTAGTAAGCATTTATTATTTTTACTATTTTATTTAATAATAGTCAAAAAACATTTTGAATTGCAAGGTATTCAAATTTTTACATCATTTTTCGGAATTACAATTTCAAATGGTTCAAAGTTCGAGGGAGGAAATCGGTTGAATCGTTCTTGAGAAATACAATTTTAAAACAACGTTTTTTAAGAGTTCAATTTCTCAGAAACTATTTTACCCTTTTCACTCAAATTTGGCATTTTGCCATTTAAAATTGCATTTCTTAAAATGATATAAAGAATTTTGTATACCTTACAATAAGAATAAATTTTTCCGATTTCCATGAAATAAAATAATAACAAATAATATATATTTACTAAAAGTTATATTTTACATGGAATTATCTTTGGATGAATGAATATTATAATTGGGTGCAAAAATTTTTCAATTCGTTTAAAAAGTTGTCAAGATATGGTGAAATAAGCAAAAAGTAAAATTAACAATGAGTATTTCAAACTTTAAACCGCTCCTTAGACACAACTATTGGGGCCATATATCCCTTATTGCGACTATCTCCTAAATTTCGTGGGTCAGAAATCTGAATCCGTTGAAAAAAGGTATGTTTAATCACAGAAAGTACATATTCGTGTCTTATTTCGTGGCTGACTAATTAATTAGCATATTCGAGGTCACCCTATTGATCCATTGAGTCCTACAACGTGAAGATCCGATTATTAGAACAAAAGTTATTCAGGGTGGTCCACTTTTCATTTTGCGCATTGTACATTGTTAAAATTTCCCGGAAAAAATGGTGAAGTAACAAATTATTTCATTGTTATTTTACCATAATTTACTGAAACAGTCAACTAATTATCAAAAAAATGGTATTCTAACTGTTAACTGTGCGAAAAAATTTTTATTGACTGTAATCACTTAATACGGTTAAACAATTAGAATTTTATCTGTACCCACTAGGCCCTCCCTATGAAGCTACTTAGTTCCTAGCAGCTGAGTACAACTATACCCGAGAGGACTAATCTATCAATCTCATGGCCTGTTGACGGGGATTCGAATCCCAGTGTTGACGCAATAATATTTCCACCATTCCTTGAACACATGAAGAGTTTTCAGTGATCAGCACTCTTCAATCTGTGACCCTGAACAATAGAATACTAAACTCTCATTCTCGCATAGATGCACCTCAAAGCTGCTTAGTAGGAAAGTCTAGTATTTTCCATTTCTCTCGATAGTTCCACCCCCCCCCCTCCGTTGAATTAAGTTAACCGAAATTCATGGTTCAATCGAGACAACAAAACTTAACCGTAACCAAACTCCAATGTCAATTATCCATCGAAAAGCCAAGCATAACCTAATTCCAATACCCTATTAAATTTCATTTTTACAGTTTAGAAACCTTACTAGTCGTAAACAGTCTCAAAACCATTGAAGGTAAAAAATGCTTCTAATCGTAAACTTTGCTGTTGATTGGACGGACTGCTGCCTTTTATTAAAAAAGATATTTTCAACTGTATTTTCAAATATATATATATATA